AGGTTAAAAGGAAAAAAGAAAAAAATCTCCCTCTAGTGGCAGAAGGCGGAATAGCAGCTTCCCATTAGTTTCTATGGACGAAAAGAGCAGATACGAATTAAATGGTTTTCAATGCATTCCTATGGGAAATGCAGATTCGACTTAAGAACTTTTCGACCTGAGAACTGCCTTCCAATACGGATTAAGTTCTTAAGTCGAGACCCCACTGTACCTTTAAGGTATCCTATTTCACACTACCCGTTGCTAGGGGAACAGTAGGAGGAGACTGCACCTACACCCTTGTTCTGCCTGAGAGTATCTATGACAGAAATCTATGTTTATGTAGACACTCCCTCCTGAGTTACTCTTTTCATTGACCTTTTTTTTGCACTGAGTGTTGAAAAGTTTCTAATTGTTCAACTATGGACTACAATGGTGGCCCGCATAACGACGATAATACGGTCCAAAAAAATCGTCACTATGTGAATTTGTCACTATGCAGCGCAAAAAAAGCCCATTGGAATGCATTAAAACATGTTTAATGCATTCCTACGGCGAAAAAAACTCACCGTTATGCGGAAATCCTCCATGCAGCCGCCATTTTCGCTGCCCGGTAAGTGAGGAAAGGTCACAGAAACACAGCGGGCAGCCATTTTCTTCACCCGGCGGCCATTTTGGAACAGCCTATCAGCTGTTGGAAAAACATCGTTATGCGATAATCAGTAAGCAAAACAGCTTATCGATCATCGCAAAGCGATGTTTTCCCATTTAAAACATCGTTATGCAATCGCTTTTGTGATCGCAAAAACTAAATCACTATGTGGATTCGTCGTTAAACAAATCGCTCGTTAAGCGAGGCACCACTGTATTTGTAAAGAAATTTAAATCAAATTTATACTATTTCCCTATTTACTGTATATTTAAAGCGAATGGCCTGGCCATCTAACAGTAGTAACTCTGTTACTAGATGGGTGGGACACAACTGTAATAATAAATATAATGAATAAATACAATATTGAATAATATACCAAATTTTGCAAATGAAGAAAAATTATAAAAGGAGAAAAAAATTAAACCTACATTATATATTTTGATACACCACTGGGAACACCAATAGAATGAAGGAAAGTGACTGAAGTCCTGTTGTTCAGCGCAATAAGTGTCAGAGTATAAAATTTACAGGCCTGAGCAGAACAAATGTCCTAATGAGCAGCCATGATGTTCAGGTGTGTCAAAATGCTGAGTCACTATGACTCAGGAGGGCTGGCTCAAAGATGATGCAACATCTGTGCTGA